AAGCCAGACATTCATTTTTAAGGGACTCATAGCTGAAAAGTGTGTGGGATCCCCTGGGCAGGAGGTTGGAACTCTGTCCCGTGGATGTTGCTTGTTACACTTGCAGGACAGCTAAGATAGGGGTTATTTTTAAACCCTGCACTTGGATTCCAAACGCTGAAAGCCGGGGATTTTCCACAGTGTTAGGTTTGTTGGAACAGAAAAGTTAATTTTTGGAATAAAACTGCCTGAGACTTCTCATCAATTCTGACCCAAATGAAACAAACATTCACTTCCATTCAAATCACTTAAATAAGCATCTATTGAGCAATGGCGTTCACAGAGCGGCAGGTGACGGGGCAGTTTGGCCCATTTATTATCTTGACTAAGGAGGCCACAGGTTTTCTTTTTTACTTTTAGAAACTACAGAGGAGTGACCATTGCCATAATGGTGCATAACTTTTACCAACGAAGCTGTCAAAATTTATAGAAGAAAATACCAAATAGTATAAATATCAAAATATTATGCCAGTAAGATTTGAATCAGTAAATATCAAGCATGTATATACGCTAAGTTTTCTTTCTTTAGTATTTTTACTTAAGCTGTTGTTGCTCCGCAGCATTGCCTGGGTGGGCCTTGGAGTAACACGGTTTTGTGTTTTCTCGGTATTTCTCTTAGTGAGAAATAGTAAGTTTATTTAGCGCCACCTGCTGGCCAAGTGGTTAATTAAAGATGACCACCACCCTGGTTATTTCGTTTTAACTAGCATTTTAATCTTGAATTATGGAACAGCAGAGCACAATGAAAGGATGTCATACAAGTATTTATATTTTGCTAAGTAGTTTTAGCTTTTTGTTAGTTTCATGCCTTGTATACTTTATTGGGAGCTTGGCAGTAATTGCTGTATGATGCAGTTAGTTATTAAATGTAGGATTCTGCAGATTGCCTAGGCCCGGGTCCCGGCTCCATTGCTGGTATTTACAAGCTGTGGGTCCTGGGAAGGTTACTTAATCTATTTTCTTTTCAGAAAACTGGAGACACATGTTGTGAGCATTAAAAGAAAATACACATATGCTCATGTGCAGGCGCACACAATCCCATTTTAGAACGTCGCCTGGCAGGCAGTGGGCATGACAGAAATGCTGCTTAACGGAAATAAAATGAATGTCAGTTATTGGCTGAGTGTTTTCTACGTGCCAGACTCTAAACCCAGTGCATCATACACCAGGGGAGTAATTCCTGTGTTAGAATAAAGGAAAACGAGGTCTAGGGAACTGAAGGAACATCTCCATGTGTGGAATTTGTCATTTGCTGAGCTGGATGTGGAGGTAGCTCCTTCCCGCTGGTCGGAGCGCAGGCCTGTGCCACTTCCGTCCCCTCCTCCTTCCCGCTGGT